AAAATTGATTGGTTGTACTGACCAAGATGACTTTGTTACTTAGATGTTAATAAATCAAAGGGAAAAGATTGTTAGGGCAATTGCTGGATAACAAACGGGATCATAAAATAATAATCAAGATTTGTGAGTGTTACTGTTTTACATTAATAATGAGCAATGTAAATATTTTACATTTTGGCATTAGTAGAAGTAAAAACATTATTGTCACACCCAGAAAATTGTGATAGAGGGCAAAGGCAACACGTGGTAGAATCTTGGCTTGTCTAGAAGGGGCATGACATGCAGGGCAGTAATGGTCCAATCTTTGATTTCAAGCCAATCAGACACTCCAAGCAAATATTTTGGTATCCCCTTTGGAGTGCAATCTCACAGGGCTTAATCACATCAGCAGTCCCATTGATGAGAAGGAAATCACTTGGATGATTAAGACAATAGATATAATGAATGTCTTAGAGGATCTAAATCCTGGGTCTTGACCCTGCCTAGAATGATTTCAGTTTCATTCTCCAAAGATATTGTAGATCTGATAAAGTAGAGCTTGTTTCCAGATCAGAACCCGAGAGTATGAGTCTCTTAAGCAGTGCACACACTTATTGTAGGGCAATACAACATTCTAAAATGACTGAGACTAACAAGTCAATGAGATTTGTGTTCCTATTTCATGTGAGAGGCCCAGACACTTGAAATATAATTGTAGTAATTATTACAGTAACTGTTGCATGAATAAGTAGTGTTTTGGGAAGGAGACTGCTGAATTCTTAGCATTGTTGGAGCTCTCTGATTTCTCATCAGTTTGCCAGTTTTTATTTAGATCCATTCATTTGTACAAAGGGGGGTAATCACATTCTAACAATATGCCAAAGTGTTCCAAATCTAGATACCAGTTAACTCATGTTACAATTTTCAGATAGTTCTGAGGTTATTTCTACTACAAATTAAAAGGATTAAATTTGTACAGCAGAAAAATACACACTCTTCAACCTTTTACAAATGATCCTATTTGATGGTGCACCCAATATTTGAAGTAATGATGCTGCTTCATCATGAAGTGTGAGCATCCCATCATGCTGGCAAATGCAGCAGTGCAAAGTTAATATGGGCTCTTATTAGTGTTGTGGAATACAAGCAAAAATTAACAGCCCTAGGCAGGAAGGCAACTGACACATTTTAAAAACACGGTGATTTCCTCTGTTCTAAAATTTGCACTATCAAGTTAACCAAATGCCCTTTCCACCTTCTAAATTACCATGGATTTTAGCAACATTTGTTTCTTTTCCAGAAGGGAATGGTTTATTACTCAGAGTGAAATCTCTAGTTCAGTTATGGAGCCCAAGCTAGAAACATTTCCAAAATTTTCAGGAAGAGTTGTGGTTGAAGGAAGCCCTTTTCTCGTTTTTGATAATGTCCAAAGTTTCTAAGATTATTGATTTAATTATTTCTCATACTGGAGTTAGATGAGTAGCAAAACAGGGAACTGAAGCTTTTCATGTTGCAACAGCCTTTCACTTTCTTTCTTTGTCTACTCCTAGCTACGCTGTGACAGTACAAGAATCTTATGCTCATCCTTTTGATCAGATCTATTATACAAGATGTACTGACATACTGAACTGGTTCAAGTGCACTAGACATAGGTAAGAGATGATCCCCAGATATTTCAGTTTTATTTTGCCTTTTCATCTCCTCACATACCTTTTATTTATCAAAATTTTTGTGGTACTCTAATACAGATATGTACACAAAGATGTATTTTAGTACAATAGCCAGGATGTTTGGCATTCTAGGGCAGTGATTGAAGTTGAGAGATTTTTGCATGAAATTTGAGTGAGATCAATGGTAGTCAGACTCTTTACGGGGCCGTTTGGGAGCATGCATCCTTGCCGTTCACCCAGCCATGTGATTGGAAGTGTTTATTACACAACCAGCTATCCTTTCCAAGTGATCAGTGCATGGCCAGGTTTACGGTAGGAAGTCTCTGCAGCTCCTAAATCTTGAAGAATCAGGCACTTGAGCATTAATGGCAGTTGTAAATGGATCCATATTTGAAATATAGCACCCAAATCTGTACTGAAAATCAGGTAAAATGAGGATGGGTCTATTTCTAGCACTGAATGAAAGCTGATACTAAACCGTTAAATTTTTCCTAGGCTACAAGTTATCACTGTTATATTCATTCCGATTCCAAGTAGAAAAGTATCCTAAAATACATCCATTAATATTTGCAGTCTTTCAAGGGGGTTTTAGCAAGCTACTTAGTACCTTAACTTTCATGCATTCATAGCAAAGAGGTTGTTCAGCACCATCCCAGTGTGACTGGGATTTTGGTTTTTTGCTTCTGTGTTACAGTGTATGGAATTGAACAGAGATGCAGAGCTTTCTGGGTTGTTGCATAGCTTGGAATGCAGCAGAGTAAATTCGATCAGTTTATCTAACATGAGGGATAATAGATTTTGTTCAATTTAGGTAATTTCAAATAAACTAACACGAACAAAACTGTCTTGAAGTGTTTCCTGTTAAATATTTGCTGTTAAATATTCCTTTTCTACTGTGGTATCATTGCTAATGCTATGAATAAGTCTAGAAAAGCTACAGAATGCTTAACACCTTTTAATTTCTCTGGACTACATATTGTAGTTGGGAAAACATGCTTTAAATACTGAACTGGGACTATAATGTCATTTTGCAAGGCATTAATGCCTTGTAAGGGTTAGCAAGCAGGAAGAAATCACTTGGGGTTAACTTCATATTTTGTGTGTTGAGAGCAGTTTCCATTGTGGTAATTTCTTGACGCTGACACAGTGGTCTCCGTAGAAGGTTCTATTCATTCCATTGATGATAGCTGACCTTGCTGATATGCAGAAATGAATAATTTATTCTTGAAGAAACTCCTTGCCCTTGCTTCAGGACTGGGGAAGTGTTTTAAGGTAGCAGTCCTAGAAAGGGCTACTGTGACTGACTGTCATGAGTACTGTGTTTATAATATGAGTTATATTTCAAGTTCCAAATCAAGTATTGATTTTTTTTTATTGTGGCTTTTAATATCAAAAGCTTTCATGCATTTTAAAATAATTATTGAATGCTATGCTTACTATAATTTAACACAAATATAATTCCAACAGTAGGAATTGATTTTCAATATTGTCAAATGGCTTTCTGTCTTGCAATTTAGAATAAGTTATAAAACAGCATATCGAAGAGGACTAAGAACTATGTATCGGCGAAGATCTCAGTGCTGCCCTGGATATTATGAAAGTGGAGACTACTGTATACGTATGTACAGAGCTTTGATTCAGCTATGACAATAAAAGTAATTTTTGGAGGAGCTGTAGACAAATTAAAGATGTATTGCAGTTGTAATATTAAGGGCTGATTTTCAGAGCTGCTCAGAACCTTCAGGTCCCAGTGATTTCAGTCACAATTGCAGATACAGAACATTTCAATTCATTTCAGGTATATACATTTCAAGCACCTAAGTAAAATTTTCCTGAAAACACAAGGAGGTTTGTTAATCAAGTTCATGAGTGCTTTCTTGAATCAGACTTTACTTTGGGGAGTAATTTATGCACTAATTGTAAAGAATTAGGGGAACCGAGAACACTCTTAGGAATGAACTATTAAATAATTTAAGAAGCAGCATAAAGTTTCTGCCTCTTAACTTTGAAAGTTCTTACCCCGGGTAAGAACAGTTAAAATCTCATTGTGTTTCATATGGTTCCTGTCAATAATTTTGCCCTTTTTGAAGCTTCACAAATGTCAGAAGAACTTTGTCCTAATTACATGGTATAATTAAATAAAAAACTCTGGAGTGTGTTAGGTCAGTCTGAGAGGGACAAAATGCAAAATGAATCTTTCAGCAACATCTAAGAGCTTTGTTAACTAAAATGTCCGGTACATTAATGTCACGTGTTTTCAGTATTGCAGCTCTCTAAGTATGCTGAGACAGAAGGCATTTGCTACACTTTGCTCAAAATGAGAGTGGAGCTGGGGATCTCTTGTCTACATCTTGTTAGAATGGGATTATGACACAAGAAAAAACACAAGGAGGTTTTGATCAGCATCAGAATCCAAATTTTATTGACAGGTCTAGAATGCCATAGAATAATTTAAATGTGAAAACGATACAATTATCCATCTCACTTTAAATATCTTGACACAGCGCTTTAAAGTTATTTCTACCTAGTTCTGTTGGTGTTTTTATTTGAGTACCTATATTGTACTTATATTGTAGTATATGAGCACCTCAAAAACATGAATGGACCCTAATCTTATTTTAAATGACCTTTACGCCAAACAGTTACTTTAAAGGGGCTTTGGACTGTGAAAAATTACCAGCCCTTTGAGATAAGGCATTAGAATTAGCCTTATTTTACAGAAAGAATAATAATTTGATCTTCTGAAGTGTGAAGTGCTGTTACTCAAGTCCTGAAAACCATTTAATGTAGCCTATTGTCTTTGCTAAAATTCTTCCTATGTGAAATATGTATTTAACTTTAAATTTCTCAAGCATCAATTTAATTTCAGCAGTTGTTCCACATACTTTTATTACCAACTTGAATTTTGTGACTCAAATTCCTGCCTGGCACAGAACATATTTATTTCCACTTTTCTCTCTGTAATCTATTGATTTTTTTTTTTTTTTAAATTCCCATACTGGTTGCAACAACAGGAGATCTCTGCAGACTTTCTGATTCTTTGAGGATATTAACATTTATTTTAAAGTGCTTTTTTGCTAGTATTAATAGTCAAGAGTTCTGCTGCTGCCAGGCAAATATTTTCTTTCTATTATGGAGAAAGAATAGCATATACCATACACCAAAGTTTTGCTAATGCAGAACAGGCAGCATCTATCAGATCAGGAGTTTCATGTTTGACACAGTGCAGATAATACTTACAGTCTCTCTGTTGTTTACATGTGCAAGAGTCAGGTTCTTGTATTTCATTATCTGCATGATCATAAATGCAAAGTGCATTCCTTGGGGACATTTTCTATCCTCCTTCCTGGGAGATCTAAGCAACAAGTGCAACTGGGAGAGAAATGATGTAAAGGAAGAAGATCTCCATCATGACTGATTCTAGATACTTGGTCTTATTGTTTTGATACCACAAGTAACCACAAGTAGCAAAAAGAAAAATCACCCCAAAACCAAAAAACCTCATCAAAGCTCTCTGACCCTGCAACCAACAGTTTGAATGCACAACAATATTTAGCTAATGTGATACTTTTCATGCCATCCCTTTTATTTCTAACACATCAAGCCCTTGTACCATTAGTTTTGTTTTGTTTTTCCACAATACCTTCCTGTGCCAACAAGCAAATTCTCCCATTCATCATGGTTTGCAGTCAGCAGTGAATTCCATTTTCATTCCTGGTGGCACCTCCCTGCTTTTGCTTCTTTCCTTACCTTCCCTTTCCCTTTCTTTCTTTTCTTTAAACTGATATTTGCTGCTGTTTCCTAACAAGGTAGTCTAGTATTCCTGTCCCACATTCCTCTAGGCATGTTCAGTGCCTGCTCCTTTAATGGTAGCTGCTACAAGAGAGAGGTCAGGAGACACCATCAAAACCATTCCACTTGTCTATGCTGTCACGGGACGGCATGGTTCGGAGATGATCGTGCTTCCTCTAAGATCCACTGGCAAGAAGGGAATGAAGCTCCAGCCCTGCAGAGAAGCTTCTCCTCACTCTTCTCCTCACTCAGCCAGCCCTTTAAAATCTATTCCATTAGCAATCATGGAAGCCACTACAACATGGGGAGGAGAGAATACATCCCGCAGTGAGTCTGATGATCAAAAGAAAGTTTGATTAAAAAACAGTGTGTAGATTAAAGGCTAATTGGTTCTTCTTTCATTAATAGCAGTCTTTATTTCTTGCAAAAGTTAAATAGCTTTGTAATTAACAGTGACATGTTTAGACTAGGGAAGGATGAGTTTAAATCTCTATTAATGACTGTTTCTTGTATTTTAAAGCAGGAGTGAAGGCTTTCAGTTACGGTTTTGATCTTTTCCCTTCTCATTTACTATTTTTAAAAGGAATGTCAGATATATGTTTTTATCTTTGGCCTCCTATTGGGATTTACTAAATGGATTACGTCTAATAAAATCTACCCTCAGTTCGAAATAATTGGGTTGGCCCAGAGCTTCTTGCTCTGCCACTCTTCCTCTGGTATCTTCTTTGCCTTTTTGAGATCTATATATGCTACTGCCCCATAAAATGTGGAATTCAGGCACAAGGTCAAATCATTTAACTTGTTGACTGGTAAGTTATACATCTGTCCAGCCCAGACTACAGAGTTTTGGAGTATGAAATTGTCTTTGTGCCTATAAAGGGCTTGGAATATTTTTGAGTTATAATGGTATTCAAAAAATACCACCTGAAAAATGCTGCAAATGCACATCTGCGTTTTTTTCCCCATTGATATCTTAGAAATGGTGCTACCATTCTAGTAGTTTTGCAAAATTATTCTCCTTCTCTGAATGTTCTTACACATGACATAGCTTTTCACTGAGCTGTCCCTGAAAACAAACAGCATAGTCTGGGTAGTAAATCAGAGCAACTGTGATTTACTATACTTTGTATGCTAAGGTAAGCTTTTGCAGAGCAAATACATAAACTGCAGAAAATCCTTTTTAAAATAACCACAGGGTTCAACTGCCTTTCAAGTTTTTCATAAGGATGTTTTAAAATTATACTGCCTAGGTTAGTGTCTGTGGTAGATAAAGCATCTCTGAATACCTGCATACTTTGCTGCCTGAAAAAAACAGGAATATTACATGGCTCTTTCGTGATTTTTACCCTCTGAGTAGATGGTAGTTGAATACTTCCCTTTAAGTATATGTCAGGTGGAAAGAGATCCCTTGTGTAGTAAATGAATACATTTTGGTCTGAGAGACCAATGCTTTGTTCAGTCTGTCCATTTTAATCTTATTCTTGCACAACAGATTTATATAAAAGAGACGTTTCTTCTTAGGTAACAAAGGGTCAGAGACCCGAGCACCAGAGAAAAGGAAGATGGGACTGCAAGCAGCATCTACTTGCATCTGACTTTCTGGTAGAAAAAAACAACCGCGAAACACAAAGTTGGGAATTCACCTTTTCTTCATAGATTGAGATATTTTAGCTTTTAATGGTTCTATTTTTCACTCTCGTACCTTATACATTAGAAAAAGAGTGTAAGTCTATGCAATGTGACAGGATCCAATAATGATGGGATTAGCGATTTAACAATCTTATTTGCTGCCATTTCGCTGTCATTCAAACCTGCCAAAATTCAGTAGAGTTATAGATTGACCATTTCATGGTTCTCTCCTTTCTTGGCCAAGTTATTATTGATCTCAGATTGTTTTTCAACATTCAGCTTTCCACATTGCAATTGCCGCAACCATCATCAGGACTCCCTGACTTTGACAAATTTTTTATGGAGAAATTCTTGGTCTCATTGGTTGAATCTCAGTTTGTCACCCAGAGTAGTTGTTCACTGAGGCCAGAGGTTAGGGACATTATTGTGTTTGCATGTAGTTATTTACCCATCTTTTCAGCTAGCCTATGCCTGACATCATTAATGAATTTAAAAAACAACTGAGGAATGTTCCTTTAATAGCTGACTTGGTGAAATTATGCAAATTTAGGACCTGATTCTTTTCAGGATTTTAAATAATGTTTCATACTGTAATTCCAATAGACATGCCAACTTCATAGTGTGATGTATGCTTATGTATTGTAGCAATATGAACATTCATACCTTGGGATTGCCCTCAAATTTACAAGGCTGCATGTCTACTGCAGCTTTTGTAATCTTTGAAAAGGCTGCCTTATTGGAGCCATATGGCTAGATTGTTAAACATCTGTACCATAGGAGTAACAATTCCAAAGCTTCCTGCCATCTGGATGAATTACAATACTTGCAATTCAATGCATATGTTACAACAACACGCCGACACCGCAGTAGAGTGTACTTACGATGAAAAGAGGAATAATAACTTATGTGATCAGTGCAAAAGTTGTACACTCTTAGAAAATGTTGAATCAGCAGCTTAAGCTTCCTGAATATTCATAATGTTTGTTCCTATGTCAGAATTGTTGATTATTTTCACTTTATAAGGTAGTAGCTTATTAACATTTTAGAAGAAAAGTTGTCCCCCCTTCTCACCTCAATTTTAAATTCCTCATGGTGAGCATTCCTGTAACTTGAAAATATATTGTTTGAAAACTGCTGGACTTAGGAAATATATTTTTCTTATCTTTATAGACACACATTAAAGCTGGTGCTAGTGCT